CTCTCTCTCTCTCTCTCTCTCTCTCTCTCTCTCTCTTTGTCATGAAAGATGTAGCCTTTCTTTCTTTTTTTGACCCTACCATTAGCTCAACTGCTGCCTTTACTCTCTCCGATCTTGTTTCTGTTATATTTAAATGATTGTTATTATATTATTTGAAACAATCAATCGCTTCCTAGCTTTTGTAGACCTATTTTTGTCAAGATCTTCACTATGTTTCTTTCTTGTAAACCTAATCATACTTCTTTTCGTCATGACACCTGTTCTGGATGGATGAAACTTAAAAGCTTCTTCTTAGGTTAATCTTCACCACACTCTGAGGGCATTTTCTCTTAGGTAATTGGCCACGATGTTTCTTACAAAATCTGTCCAAAATTTGGACTAACTTCTCATTTTGATGTAAATTTTTATCATACCTGAGAAATTGGATCTATTAGTAAACTAAGCTTGTTTTGTTTTTAGTATTGTATAAATTCTGTTTATAAGTAAACAATTTTGGACATGTTTGTGTGCTATGTGTTCTTTGTTGTCTGCAATCTGATAGGTATAACTTGTGCATTGGGCTTGTACTTTCATATGAATTGGATGATCATAACAAAAGGCTAAATACATTCTAATTTTTTTTTTGCCTCATGAATTATGAGGATGACTTCTTATAGTTCTTTTATAGAATAGGCAACATGGTATTGAATCTTCTTTATCAATAATATAAAAAGAAATCAGGATAATATAGAATTTTGAATGATCATCTCATGTTATATTTTTGACCAAGTTAGATTATACAACGTATAGATTACTTGTATGAGATTATACAACATATAGATTACTTGTATGTGTACTATTGTTTAATTGTTATTTGTAAGAAGATTGTATAATGTATTAAGGATGAGGTTTCTATAAGGTATAGGCTTTATGAAAACAAAATAAAGCCTCACCTCAAATCCTCGTCCGCAAAGCACTTTCGGCAAAGGAAATCTCCATGATGGCTCTAAAATCAATTTCCAACACCAACTATAAAATTTGAAACTAAAAAAATGGTACAGATCTTGCGGATATGTGAATACTTATTTTTAGGGCGAAATGGACGGCCTAGATAATTTGTTACAATATACACTATTTTTAGAGCTTGAAATCGTAATATTTTTTTTTAAAACCATAATGTTCAAGTTGAGATGATCGATGTAAAGGTTTTCCAATGCTTGAATTGTAATTTTGGATGAGTTATGAGGTGAGGCTTTACTTACTTTGATATGGCTGCAGCCCTATCAAACCATTTCCGTGTATAAATATTTAGATGTTTATTACTTTTAGTTCTTCAGATGTCTCTAGCTTTTGTGATTACCACCCTCTTGAATACTTTTGCACCATCACTTGAGCTTTCAAGCCCCTATGAATCACAATCTGCAGGAGGCTGCTTGTTTCTTTTTAACCGCTACATGGAGTGCCACTCTTGACTCTGAGAGAGGGAGAGAGAGGCGGGTTAGAAGCCACTAGGGAAAAAGTTTCAGAAGCAGGAGCATTAAAGGAATGAATACCACATGAGATGACCCTCTAATATTTGGAGTGATAAACAAAAGAGAATGCCTTGTAAATAGAATATAATGAAGGCAGAATGGAAAAACTGGTGTTAGCTTTCTCTTCCAATGAAATGCAATACAAGAAATGCTCAGATGCTATTTTCGTTGCAGCTTGCGTGATTAATAGGATATTGACATATGCTTGAAGGCAAGTTCCCCCTTGCTATCATTTTTCATGAGCCGGCTTCCTAGAAACATCATTGTGGTTAGGTTGTATATGTATTTCCATTATTTGCTC